AAAAATATAATTGATAAAATTAAAGTGATCAAATATAATTTTTATAAATTTATTTTTTTTATAAATTCGAAATTATATAGCATCGCTTTTTTTAAAAAAAATTTTTTGCTGACAATTAAAATTAATCAGAAACAATATTTTCATTTTCAGCAAAATTTTATCTCAGACTTCGATGTTTTTTAAACAATAAAAAATGTTTAATAAACTGTTTAAACCGTTTTTTTACCATCCCTACAAGTCGCATATAATTTTTCGTATATAAAATTTTAAATTGATATACCTTTTTTTAAAAATAAGGTAATGCAAATTTTTTGTTATAAATTTAGCAGATTTTTAGTCTATCTATAAATTTTATAAAAAATTTTTATTTATTAATTAATTTTGAAAGAGAAATTTCAATTAAAGCTATATAACAATTCAAAAATTTGACACTTAAAAAAAATAAAAATAAAAATAAAAATAATTTGGTTATACAAAATTAGCCAATCAAAGTTTTAGATTTATATTACACAACAGGTGAAAATTTGGCGCCTATATATGGCTTTAAGTGTCTCGCACTGTAGCTATATTAAACTCCATATAAACTTTCACGAAGTTCATTGAACCATTTTTTTAAATAAGCAGAATACGAGCTAAAATCACGTGCATAATTGATAAATCCGTTAATACTCCGTTGGAGATACGACCAATAATAGTTCCTTTATTTTAAATCGATCGTTAAATTAGTAAAGAATTTTAATAAAACATCGGAATATCTAATCTAATCCGACCAAACGATAATGGCATACATGTTCGGTCTCTGAAAGGTGATCATTAACAGTTTCTGGTGACGAACGTTTGTGAATAGAATCTGTTGAAGGGTCGGATTGATGCGAAATTCTATCGCTATGTTGCGTTGGAGACTCTTGGTCATTAGAACTTTTATGAATAATTGTGGAACTAAGAGTGTCTATTCCATGCTAGTTAATTTTGAATAATTAGATTCTTGAAATAAATATCATGATTCACGCAATTCATATATATATATACCTTAACAGATTCGATGAGTTTTTCACTTAAATGATGATTCGACGTACTACTGTTGCTTCCATTTTTCTCTTCACTTTTTGTTTCACCAGAGATCTGAAAATTTTCACCCTTATCAATAATTTTCTTGCTTTCTCCGCCGTTATTTATTATTTCCTTTCTATCTGAGTTTGCAGACATTTTTTCTTCTATTATAAAGAGGTGAAAAAGCTTGATATTTATAAAAAAAATTAATGATATAAAAGCTGATCTAAATTACGTATGTCTTCGCCACTATGACGACATATAGTATAAACAATAAAAAATAATATATGGCATAGCGATAGGAATCCCGATCAGCTGGGCCAAAATTGATCAATTTTGCCCAAAATTACTAATGAAATCATAACCATAACCCTGTATACCTTCCGTTGGGGTGTCCAATGCACTATGTAAATCAAATCTAAGTAAGGTCTATATGATAAATTTGTATATACGGATTTTTT